AGAAAGACATGTTCCCTTTGAAGAGCACGTCTTTTTTACATACTGAATGATATCACCGTCCTGATTGTTTCTTAATTTTTTTTTTACCGCGTAGAGTTTGCGCCAGTAAAACACTTTAGCTTGAGCGTCACGTATTCGTATTACAGTATCTAAGTTTTGCATCGTTGACCTTCACTGCAAGGCGGAGTCGTGAGGGCTCAAACGCTCATCCTGTGGTTCTTCAATTGCTTTATTTTGATATGTTTATTTTTTTTTCTTACATCTGCTTTGAATGGCGACTGTTTTTTTTTGCGTCGAGACCACTAATAATGACAATCGATTGGTGCGTCAACGTGTGTTCGTTGGGAGAAACACGCGGGTTGGTTGGAGGGCATAAAAGACGCGTGAACAATGGAAAACTGCTCGGGGCAAAGACGAGAGCAACAGCCGTTCTAGCCACTTGAGATGCTTTCGAAATTTTTTAAGTGCTTCGTATCTCGATGAGAGCATAACTTACAAATGAGCCATTTTTAAGCTTAAATGCAAATTTATTTCCCATTACCGAACACACCAGGATTATGAAGCTTGCTCGCATAATTCAATTTGATTTCATGAGTTTACTAGCTGTGTTATGAGTATAAACGCGAGTGAATTTGTGATGCTAATAGGACTGAGTGGAGTCCAATTCAATTTATAATCATACGAGTGATTTACAAAATCGGGTGACCGCGAAGCAAGAATCCGAACAATTTCAGACCGAAGTGGACGACACGAATTCCCGTCTTCAATTAACCAAAAATTTACCATCGGTTATACGTTTACATGAAAAAAAAACAACAAAAAAAAAAACAGCTAACTCGGCGGAATGAACGACAACAGCGTGCGCAAATGACGCGTACTGTTCAATTACATTGCACTCAATTTGGGCTACTGATAACCAAACACGTCCGAGGATTTTGTTATAACTTTAATTTCATGATTTATACGTACAAGTGAAGTTCTGAAAGTTTTCGTTATTACCCGCGGCGCATGCGAATGAAATTTAAAAACCTTTCAAAACAGCACGTGTGCCATAAATGGCACGAAATACGCGAATAGTTCAAGCCACTTTTAGTTTATTACATTCCCAACAAAATCTCCTTACAACATTTCTTTGTAGTTTCTAGGTGCACGATTTACAACTGTGCACACAATATGTGGAAAAATGCTCTTTCCTTCGATTAATTCATTTGAACTGCTCTTGGGTGTGACCATTTACTTTCAAAGTGCCACTCTCCACCCAGGGATATTAAAGAATACCGGCGACCGTCCGGGAAACTTGTAGGCTCTCCAGACCTTACACGGCCCAGCGGTGAGTTACAGTTACACAGAAGGATCTGGGTATAGGATTAGGAAGCTTGAGGAAATGCTGGGGGGACGTTAAAAAAAATTCTGGATGGACACATAACAGATTACCTCACTGATAAATACCAAAAGCATACGATATTAGGTCTAACACCTTCCCATTCCACGTACTAATAATATGAAGCGAATATTTTTTTTATGCTTCTGTTAAACCGTGCAACATTTGATTTAGTCTGTCTTTCTACTGTGACGAAAATTGGATGAAGTTCCTCTGAATTTATCATGAGGAAATTCACGCCTGACAGCTTCGAATTTGAGAGACCTTTTTAGCTACATAAGTGATTTAACCTTTTTTTTTTAGTATTTTTATCATTTAACAATCGGTTCATATGTCAGCGTGCGTTCATCGAGATATGGAGCACGTGGGAAGTTTGGAGAGCACGAAAGATGCGTAAGAGTTGCTCGAGGCGTAGTAACTCTCGAGGCGTAGTAACTCCAGCTTCTCGAGGGATTTGTTTGCTGACGTCATGAGCGTGCACGATAGGAATATGAAGCACGCTCGCGCAACTGAATTTGATGAGACAAATTTACTAGCTATGTTATAGTTAACAATTGGTTCATACGTCAGCGTGTGTTCATCGAGATATGAAGCACGCGGGAAATTTGGAGAGCACGAAAGATGCGTAAGAGTTGCTCGAGGCGAAGCCGAGAGCAACTCTAACTTCTTGAGTGCTCTCTAAACTTCCCAAGTGCTTCATATCTCGATGAACGCACAGCTGACGTATGAACCAATTGTTTTATAACATTTTCAACCCGATGGAAAATTTTTTTCTCGAGGGATATGTTTGCTGACGTCATGAGCGTGCACAATAGGAATATGAAGCATGCTCGCGCAATTGAATTTGATTAGACAAATTTACTAGCTATGTTATATTATGTGTTTGCAATTTATAATTTATAAGGCCATGAGGGAGGTTGCAGTCTTTGACTTTAACCATGCTCTCTATTGAAATAAACTGTACTACTATTCCTAGTCTGAATGAGCCACTTGTTTAGATTTCTGGCTCTATCTTGACTTCACCTTTAAATGTTAGTCAGCCAATAACTGCAATTCATTTCATCACTTCTTTCTATCGAAATGTACGAATCTTTGAATCGTGTATATTGTACCATTTTCCTTTCCTTAATTTCGAGAAACAGAACTGCCCGAGAATTATTAATTTCTCAGTACAAGAAGAGTTATTGCTTTCGGAATGTTTGCAAGTATTCCTTACCTTAAGAGCGTGTTAGATAATCCGCGGCTTATAAACTTGTAAATCCCATATCTATTCCTATCATTGTTCGTGAATTAGCAGCTACTCCCAGTTGGTAGTATCGCCATTAGAATCGGATTTTTCAAACCTAACGATTTAACTGCAGATCACCTGTGATGATCAGTTCATTATTTGAACAGTTGATTACCAAGTTAGTGTTTGGTAAGGTTATTCACCATGAACCAACCCTCTAAGTCAGTGTCCAAATTAAACCTGCCATGTAATGAGTTTTCCAGGACTTGAGTAAACTTTGTTAGTGACCAAGTGAACAGTTCTCACTAGTAAAGAGAACCTTCAGTGTCAGAATAGTTACTAATTCGGCCAAAGTCTTATTGCATGGTATACATATACTGTAAAACTTGGCTTTCATTCGAATGAAGGCAGGACTATCTTGATCATCTTTTTCTTTGATTTATTCTTCTCATTCTCGTTACCTGTTCGCTCCGCACAAACTTTACAACCGCTTCGGGCAGACTTGTATTTCCTATCTGTCTCCCTGTTCAAACTGGCCCCTCCTTGCTCCCCCTCAGATTTCCTTAATCCTGATTGATGGCTTGTTTTACTTCTTTTCTTGTACATTTTTAATCCTTCTATCGAGAGAGTCCTCAAGTTTTCTTCCTCTGCAACAGGAGTACCAATTTCTTCCAAACGACTTATGTCCCCATCAGAGCTCAGATCACCTTTGTTAAGTAATTTTTCTCCACGCTGGAAAATCTGGGGAGATTCCCGGCAAGAAAAATACTTCTCAATCCCATCTTTGAAAGAAGGTGCTTCGTGGAAATGGCGACAAAGCGAGCAATACTTCCTCCGATAGCCGTGTTTTTTGCTTTTTCTTGATCTCTCGCCTCCTTCACAAAAGACATAAACAAGATGGCGGGCTTCTTCGCCAAATAATAGGGGCGGCAATATTGAAGGAGCGCTGCATAACTTGTTTCCATGGATACCAATTTTGCGATTCGGAAATCTTCTTTCGTCCATTCGAGTCCGTTGAAGATTTAAAGAATAATGGCTAACGTCTCTGTCCATTCAAAATGTCTGGACGAACTATTCAAGTCAAATCTACTATCTAGAATGGAAATAATATCTGGTTTACCATGTGGAATGATATTGTTGGCCGAAGAGCGCTGAGCTGTCCCGGTTGTAAGCCACTCGTGAACTCAAGTTTGCAGAATAAATAAAATTTTGACTTCTTTATTCGACGTATTGACAATAAACTGTCCAAAACGTTCACGTCTCGCGTAAATCGTCAAATAAAGCGGATGAAGTGCGGCAAGTTTGTCGATGTCAATGCAAACATATTAAGTCACATATTTTCCTCCCAATTTACGTCAAAGATTAAACGTCGATTCAGGTAAGTGAATGCATGAACACAATCTGCAACTGAAACATCTTAAATGGCGCAGAATCGACGCCGTTTTTATCGTAAAGAATATACACAACAATTTGCGTCGTTGCTAAACATCATAAGTTAACTTTAGCAAGCAGGTGTGAATCCCTACATAAATAATTCATCACTTTTTCAGGTTAAATTCGACAACTAATGAATTTGAAATTTCCGATATGTCATTATGTAAAGGCAGGTTGGGAAAGAAGTTTTCAGAGTGACGTCTTATTGGTCAGCTACCTTTGAATTAAAGCATTTTACTTAAATGACAGTCGGAGACCACAAGCAGCACAACATGGTTGCATGCGATAAATCAATAAAATAATGGATTTCCCGGGAGCTGGTATGTATTTTTCACTTTTAATTTGCTTAAACAACGGCGAAACGAGCAGTCTCTGAAAACCAACATGTAATTCGATTTTTTTTAATCAAAACTAACATATTAACATGTTACGTCAAACTATTTTAAATGCAGAGTTCTGCATAGATTAGGGACTTGTAAGGAATAGCTATTCATTGCTGAAGCGCGGATACCAAGACCAAGAAAAAAGCTACTACTTCATTTCGGATTAGAAAGAAAAACGCGAAAAATACAATGGTTTTTCATGTGTTTTTAGCTTCCTACCGACAGTTTTATAATATTTCTACACAAGTTTGGCGTTTGCAACCCTTAAAAGGCCTCACGAATCCCAAACATTCGCCGTTTGTCTGTTTTCCAGCGGACTCAGCGGAAGTGCAACAACGGGAACGAAAGTGGTCACCAACGTCAGTTCAGCGACCAGTAGAGAATTACTTTCCTCTCATTTTGTCTTTTGTAAACTCATCACCCAGACCTCGATGGCTTGGAACGAAGAGGTTGGATAAACATTTTAATCATAAGTTTAAGAACTGATCATGATGACATTGCATGTTTATGATAAATTTCAACATACATCTCGCTACTTCCGACATCAAAGAAAAACTGATATGCGTGTGCTACTCTTTATTCATTTATTCATTTGTTTATTAACTTGCATATCCACTGCCTTTATTTCATTTTATTACAGGTTCAAGGCCTATATGTTTTTGCCATAACACTTGGTGCTTCAGAGACTCGCCTCATAGTTAGTTGGTCCTGATGTTTTATGCTGGCCGCCCCTCTTACGAACAACCACTGTTGATGCACGTTAAATAAAGCTGTGTGTTACTAAACCATTCATCATAGATAAAAATCTTTTCCATATCTCGTTCTGTTTAAAAGTAGTATTATAATTCTTATTTTCATTATTATTAACGTCATTATCGTGATTGTTTTTCATGCTTAATTGTTTGTTTAGTGGTTGTTTCTAATTGAGAGGTTTGTCATCTTTAGCGGAGTAACATATTTATACAGTGGTAACAGTAGTCATGTTTTCCTCTTGGTTTTTCATACATTTCAGATGTATCATAAAGTGTATCCTGTTTTACAAATCTATTAGAGAATCTACCCTACACAAACAAAGAAAAAATTATTCTAGCTTTTTGCATGCATATACGGTTTATAGACCGTTTTTTCAACGATCTCATTTTTTTAAGGATTATTTTGATAAAGAATATCACGTGTAATTCTTGATTCTGAGTTCGTTTGTTTATTGCAATCTAGTTATTGTCTACATGCTTATACATATTGATGCTATGTCTGCAGCCCAGGGTATTTGTTGGCACCAGTAAGGATTTGGTTAATTAATTCACTTGTCCATATATCAAATAACTCACGCAAGTAAAAACTAATTGGTGAAAGTTACGTTTCCGTAAAACTTTAAATTAATAGTGAAATGCTATATCGATATTTTGAGATTATTTAATGGAAAAAGAAAATATGTTAGGAAGAAGACGTATCCATTTTGTTAGGTTTGCTTGCGAAAGGATGTTAAATTTTTGGCAGTTGCCGTCTGTCGAAAACGGTTTCTTTAGATGGTTTCATCAATTTGCCTAGAAACTCAGCATCTAATCTCTAGGGCGATTAAGTTCGACTTCTACATCAAACTGTTAAACGACTCTGTTATAAACATCCTTAAATAAAGCCATTATTATTATTATATATTATAATTATTATTATTTGTGCTATTATTAGTACTATTATCTTCTCTTACGAGCTTTGCTAGCGACGGAAACGACTCGATATCGCTCCTTTAACTTGTCGATATATACAAATCCAGGTATTTCTCATATCCGTGTTGAAACCAGCGTATACAAACACGTTTACACAGGCATTGGAATAAGCCATGAAAACTGTTATTTTGACGAGTGTTAGCGGTGTGCAAGTGGGACAACCCAATAAGCTAATGATGTCAATTACTGTGATTGGCGTTGTCAAGAACACAAAAATACCAACAACTATCAGCATAATCTTTGTTGCCCTTCGCTCTCTACTCCCGCCGGCCTTCGGAACTTTCGCTCGTGATTGATCGCTATTCATCGTCTCACAGTCGGAAGTCGGTCGGCCTAAGACGACCGAAACCGATAAGTCATCTTTTTGAACCGAAGGGGCACCATTTATGCCGGTTACGTGACTTTGGGTTATATTTATACGGCGGATTTGATTACGAGCAGTTTTAAGGATGAAATAGTTGGTAAAAGCTAGGGTGATGATGACAGATAAATTGACGATGGAAAATAGCATGAACAAGTAATCCCGGCTTAGTGTGGTGGAGTACAAACAAATATCAGTTATATCGGCTGTGTCTGTCTGTCCCCATCCGAAAATAGGAAGAAATGCGATAATAAAAATTAGCAGCCAAGAAAGCGCGACTATAATTGTCGCCTTGCGTGGATCGGCGAAGTTTGTATAGAGAAAGGGCTTCTTTAACGCCAAATATCGATCGAGGCTTATCAACGTGAGATTGAAATTGGACGCACCAAAGAGAAAGACGGTAAGTGGTATGACAACCAAGCAAGGAATGAGAGGGCGTTTTTCTGTTTGATTTAGCTGATCTGCCAGGCGGAGAGGCATAGCAATGGCTCCCTGAAGCATGTCGGCCACAGCAAGGTTCAGAAACAGAAAATTGCATATCGTACGAAGTCTTTTATTCCACAAGATTGCAAGGATTACCAAAGAGTTCCCAATGACAGCCACAAAGGACACGGTTATCATGAATATTGACGTTAAAATTGTTTCTGTTGAATATGACACCATTTCGTGAAGAGGGCGTCAAAAAAATTCCGTCTTGAATAAGGTGTTCTTGTTTGGATTTGACGAAAATGACGCAGTTCTTTTTCTAATATCCAAGGTTAAGATGAGCGATGGTTTATGAGAATATTACCGCTATTCAGACGGCTATGTCTATGTCAGTTTTCATAAGTTTAAATCAAACAGTTCCCCCTGTAAAAGAAAATAGATAGATGTAAATGAGACATCTGTCAGTGAAAAATTTCCACCACCTATTTGAGAAAGCTATAGTTTTAAATACGTGACTTGCAGACGACCTCTCTGGAAAATTTGCGTCAAACACTAATAGGTGTATTTATATCAAAACAAGTTGACTTTGGCAACACGTTTAATTCAATTGTCTTATTGATCTTTGTTTTCGACTTCCACCCTCCAGGATAACTCAAAATTAAACTGCAAAAGCACTTTTGTTATCTATTTACATTAAGTTTCATTTCCCCGATTAGATTTTAGATTTTCCACAATGAAAAACAAAATAATCTGGATTGGGGGGAGCGGGGAGGCGGAATTCTTATATTGAGAGGAAAGAAATACCTGTCTAAAATTGTGGCGTGGTTTTTGTGGGAGGTAGCCGTTAAATCGACCATTGCTGCAACCCTGAAAATAGCTTAAGAAAAAAATATTGGAGTTTACCACTGAAATCCTGAACTGAGATTGAACTCCCTAATTTCCATGAGCACATTCTGGCATTCCCCCCCCGCCCCCCCAATCCATTATCGGGTTGTTGAAAACACGCGTTTAACATTAATTGACTGTCGTAAAATGTCTCTAAAAGCAATTAGTTGAGCTCGCAAATCTTAGTTTCATCCCGGCGCCGATTTGCGATTTTATCGGACAGCTCCTGCTGTGTCAAAAATGATTTTCTTTACTTTATATTCCTTCTTCTTTGTTAATGTTGGATCATAAAGTAAATATGTTATACACTGTATTTCTGAGTTTTTTTATTTTAACTCGGAGAATATTCAGCATCATTTTTAATGACGCTGTATTTTTTTTAGGTTATCTTCGAAGAGTAAAAAGGTGTTTTTCATTTCTTTCTTCTTTTGTTTTTTTTTTCTTTGCCCGTTTCTGGGCACAACCTTGACCCTCATTCGATTTACATAAAGATTAGTCTCTCTCACGGAAATTTTCCACAGCACTCATAAAAATAACCCGAGGCTTCTACTCTCTGCCAATTCCAATCAAAACGATTATTTTTATACCAAATACTTTATTAGTAAATTTATTTTGGTGTTTAGTTGTTCTGATCAACTGTTGTTGACACTCACTCGCTACATCTATGGAGGCGTTTTTCATGAAATCTGTTTTTTAACCCGCAATACCTTTCTCAAGTTTTTCAAAATATCTTGAGGGTCAACTTTCTTGAAAAACATGGCTCATCGCACCCGTCACACAAGTGATTGAAAGCAAGAGAATATGATATTCTCTTTTTGAAAGATAAGCTCAATAGTTAAACAAATATTCGGTTGCTACTTAGACGACTTATTTGCTTAGTAAGGAGCTCCTTTGCAGTAAAATATCGATTAAGTCATAGCTACAAAGCTTATCGGTAAGCTGAGCCACTGAGGACAAGCCTTTTGAGCCCAAGGTATTCATAAGATTTTTAGCTGTTCAAATACCACTGCGCGAAGAAATTCCCCGTATATACAAGAATCGACTGACCGAGTGAGTGACAGGCCGACTGACTGAAATTTCTCCCCCACTAATTGTGAGAACTCGTTCATTTCTCATGAAAGTCACTCGTTAAATAAACTGTAGTAGAAATCAGACTTAACATCCTTTACAATAAAGTCCGCATATAACGCACGCTGACATTGATTGAAAGAGTGTGCTCTATCAGAGTAAAGAGCTGAGCTAAAACTGTCGCGCCATCTGCCAAATTCTCTATTTGTTTTATAGAGCATAGAGCTGAGCTAAAGCCGTCACGCCGTCTGCCAATTGTACTATGTTCGACCTTTTCCGGGACCTCTTTTTAGCTTTTTCAGTTTCCGATAATTGAAAGTGAAATTTCAGAACGGAAGCGAGCCGGCAAGTAGCAACAGAAAAACCAAACAAAGGTTTGTAAACATACCAGGCGCCGTAATTTACGTTATTAAAACGTGAGCAGATACGAAAATCCTCAAAGGTAAAACAAAATAGACATTCCGAGTTTTAAAGATTTTCACGCTCAGTTAAATTGCAAGCTCACGTACGGTAATAAAAATCAAACACAGCTGACACTCGTACAGTATATAAAGTTCAGTGTTCAAACACAAAACAGAAAAAAACAGAAATGATGAAAAATATAACCAAACTGGCATAATTGTTAAAATTCATGCTAATCACGTCGGTGTCTGAGTGAATATGATCATACTGAAGTTCATCGCGGCTCGCTCATCATGGCGATCTCCGGTCATCACAGTAAAGCAAGCCTCAGAAACTACATCGGCCGCCCTTCGAGTGATACGTTGAGTGGAAGGTCACATCAGTCACTGCAGCCGAGTTTTGCGGCGCTGTCATCCCGAGCGATCTTCATGTTCCAGTGAATTCGGCTGTCGTTCATTTAAAAAACACTCGCCTTGAATAGTTTGTTTTCTACCTTGTCATGTGAAAAAACTCACGTGTTTTTATGAGCCATAATTCGGCTGAAGTTCACTAAACATTTCACTTTCAGATTCTGTATTAGAAACTAAAAAACTTCAAGCGAAAGTATTAAATTCGATATGCCGAACTATTTTAATTTGTAAGAATATGAACTTTGATGGTTTTTGAACTTTGATGGTTTTTGAACTTTGATGGTTTTTGAACTTTGATGGTTTTTGAACTTTGATGGTTTGACATTTTTGACAGCTTTAGTCTTGTACAGCCAATCAGATTATTTGAACCATTCTAACAGGGATTCTGATTGGCTTATTGTAACGTGCCTTATGAGAGTATAGAGCATGCTGACGACACTGTTGTTCGCTTTGGAAATAGAGTTTGTTTTGAAAATTGAAAGTAATTCTTGGGGAATCTAACGGATTCTTTATTATAAAACAAATAGAGAAGCCTTGACTGTGCTCTGTTCTGTTGTAAAGCACTTAGGAAGCGGCTAGACTACGTCTCGTGTTTCCCCCTACACTTCTTTCGTGTTCTGGCCGCTTCCTGCGTGCTTTGTTAAATCTGAAATCTAAATCTAAATCTTTATTTGTTAAATCTGAAAGTGAAATGTTCAGTGAAATCCGGCCGAATTGTGGCTCATAAAGACACCTAAGTTTTTTTTTCACATGGCAATTAGAAAACAAACTGTTTAAGGCGAGTGTTTTATGAATGAACGACAGAATGACCCCTCTGACAGAGCCGTAAAACTCGGCTTCAGTGACTGATCTGGCCCTCCACTCAACGCATCGGAAAGGACATCAGAGCAAGCTCTTAGTTGTTCACCCGAACTCATGAAATTTCTTAGGCTTGCTTCATTGCGATGACCGGATATCGCCATGATGAGTTAGCCGCGATGGACCTCAGCTTGATCGCACTCGCTCTGACACCGGCATGATTAGTAAGAATTTTAACATTTATGCCAGTTTGGCTATATTTTTCATCATTTCTGTTTTTTTCTGTTTTGTTTTTGAACACGGAACTTTATACACTATACGAGTGTTAGCTGTGTTTGATTTTTTAACCGTACGTAAGCTTGCAATCTAACTGGGTGTGAAAACCTTCAAAACTTGGACTGTACATTTCGCTTTCTATTTGAGGATTTTCGTCTCTGCTCACGTTATAACAAAATTAAATTACGGTGCCTGGCATGTTTACAAACCTTTGTTTGGTTCTTCTGTTGCTACTTGCCGGCTCGCTTGTTCCGAAATTTCACTTTCAATCAACGAAAAAAAGCTAGAGAGAAGTCTCGGAAGAGGTCTGACTCGACCAAGTCTCGCGTTTCTCCCTAAACTTCTTTCGTGCTCTAGCCGCTTCCTGTGTGCTTTACAACAGAACAGAGCACAGTCAAGGCGTTTCTATTTGGTAATAACAACAGGCAATTCACACTTACAATTCCTGAATGATTCTTAAATCTGTTGGGTTAAACAAAGATTTTACGTGCCGTAGAATCATTTATATACTGTACTATACAACATACTTTTCCTATGTAACCCTTGTCAAATTTAGGTAAAAGGAAAGAAATTTTTCGTCAAATTACTGCAGCCCCCAAAACGGGTAGAAACTATCATCAAAGATTATGGAATACATTCCGTGAATTTTCCAGCAACAGTTCTGGTAAAATTAGTGGTGATGATGAAATCGGTTTGTTCTTCTTTTTTTTTTTTTTATCGAAATCTGACTCGTTTTTCTCTATAAAAAAAAAAAACTTATTCAGTTGGACCAATGAAGTTGATTAATTGAATGATGAAATCAGTTCATTGTATTTTTCCGAATTCTGATTCTCTCACCTCTAAACTGGACACATAACAGAATCATAGAAGGAAAAAAAACTGTTTTAAATGCGCTTCTCTTCGAATACCTACGGCAAGAGCTTAGAGCTTTTATATCTACATAATCTTGGCTCGACTTCAGATTGGAAGAGGCAGTTTGCAACTTAAAGTGTTTCTGTTACTTGCGTGAACACGTGTTCAGTTGTGCACATGATATAATCATCGTAAATTCTGACCTAGAATTGTTCTGACACAGTCGTTTGACTTCTTCATAAACTGAAACAAAATGAACTCAGAACTTCGGTTATCTCAGAAAAATAAGAAAACAGTTGGCGATGTTCATATACTAACTCAGTTAATTTGAAATAATTTGATTTTTCGATGGTGCTCTTAAATTAATATGGCTAGAATACCCTCAGAACATGAATTTTTACCTTGTCTTTGATAGATATTTTGTCCACGAAGAACCCAGGTTTTCTGACATACTAAATACGAGGGCTTTCGAAGTCAAACTCACTTCACGGCAAAGCTTATTTATCGTAACGTTCATTAGGAAAGATTACTAACTTGAAAAACACTTCAACATACATTAATCACATTTTAATTGGCGTACTTAACGAAATTATCTACATCTTTTGTTTCAAAGTGTAAAAATGTAATAAAAATCTCTAATAAAACAATTTGAAAGGCCGAAAGGAAGTCAGTCAGTCATTGAATCAGGATGAACTACACAGCCCGTTGAAAAACTTGATTACAGACTGTAGTTTTATTGAATTGAAAAGTGAAGGCATCTCAGTTGTTAAGTTTGAAATTAAACTCATTTTAGTGTTTCTATCAAAACCACACAATCACACCTACATCCACACATAAGAAAATCTGAAAAAAACGGAAATAACAAGTCATCGGTTAGTTAAACCGAGTCAAACTGCTTGAGATACCTCATTGGCAAATGAAAGCCTCAGTCATATGTGAAGTGTATTGCAAGATCAGACACTGAGGTTAAAAAATAAATTTAAATGGACCCGTCAAATTGCGAATTTATTCCGCTGTTCGTACGGCAAGAAAGGCTTAGGTCTTCAAATGTTTTTTCATGGAATCAATCAACCTTCCTTCATGTCTTGAAATCTCATGGTGTCAACACCATATAAAGAGGGTCTCAGTGGATTT